TATTCAAATAAACATAACTAGGTTAAGAATCCCAACTGGCGGGAGGCAGACCAGTTGGCTATTTACAAGCGCAGCCGAGAAGTTGAACTCGGGGCTACCAAGAACAACATCAGCTAACGGTCAGAACGGTCAGAACGGAATTGGAACGATCAGCTAACGGTCAGCTAACGGTTAGAACGGAATTTGAACCCGGGACCTACGGATTTCAAATCCGGCGCTCTAACCACTCGGCCACGCTGGCTCCAGTATGAAATGGACTGAGATTTAGCATTATATCCGGAGTGGGGAAAGTAGCAATGCCCCTAGTCAGTTACAAGCCAGTGAAACCGGACGTAGGTTCGGGTTCTTAAGCCCGTTGACTCTGAAAAGGCTTTGATTAACTTAACTGTTCTAAGGGAAGGCTGGGTGAAATACTCTCAAATACACAACGGCTTTCCTGTATTCTGATTGGCTGTATCTTCTATGGCATGGTATAAAGGTTAACAATAAGTTATCTTGTTGCTCTTGACTAACCAGTAGTTCTGGGGTCCCACAATCTAACATGTCTGTCAGCGCTGCCAGAAACTAGAAGTCTTGAGTGAGGAGAGAAAGAGACGTCGCAAAATACTTTGGAGCCACTCTGAATAGAAAGAAGAATGAAATCGTAGTTAGATATACAAAGCCTTGTTACACAGCTGACAGACGGAGTATCATTGTTTGGTAGAGTTTTGTATCATTTTCTGTAAAATAACTGAGATACTTCGCGCGCTCTCATCGGTATGATAAGTGTGTTTAGATGAAAGTATGTAAATACGGTTGTGACGTTTAGATTCGCGCGTATTTTCGGGAAAATTTTTAATAAAAACAATAGAGTACTTTTTCTGTGTTTACATAGCCTAATCTAAACACCAGGGAGGTTTGGATAATACTCGAATTCTCCGAACCCACCTCATGTTTAGATGAGGCTGTGTAAACGCGGAAAAAGTGCTCTATTGCTTAGGTGACTTGTCTAAAGCTAAGGTGTGCGAGCGTGTGGATAAAGGCGCACATTTCCAATCAGGAATCTTAATTACTAAGATCCTCAGTCTTATGTAATTTGATCTTTAGAAAGTCAAGAACTGTCACCACAGACACATACCAGCGTCTGTTTGTTGACTCCAGCCTGGACGTCCCAAATTCGAATGGTGTGATCCCAGCCTGCACTGCACACCGTGCTTTGATCCATCCACAGTACACTGGAGACAGCTTCTGCGTGACCAGATAGCGTCATGAGTGGGGTCTGGTGACGAATTACATGATCAACGTACGTGACAAGTAACGCAAATGCACCATGGGCTTAATCGTTCAGTAGACGCAGTAATGCCTTGTTCTGTAGCATCATTTGATGGAAAATGTTCCTAGTAAAAGAGCCAATAGACGGATTCGACTAAAACAGTTTACGTCCCTTTTGCCACCCAATTCAGACCACGTGATGATTCATTTTGGAGGTTACAAATGTTCTGTTTGCACATACTCCCCTGCAATCAGTTGCAGGTGGCAAATTGCACAATTGTAACCTCCCAAATAAATCATCACAAGGTCTGAATTGGGTGGACACAAAGACGCAAACACGTTAGCCGAATCTGTCTATTATCATGTGCGTAAAAGAGGCGAACGCCCCCACCCCTCCCGACCTAAACAACAGCAACAGAAACAACAAAAACTGAAACGGCAGCCTAAGCAGGAAAATGTTACCCGTGTAGTTGCTTTTCTTTTGTCGGTCTTTTGCTTCTTCTTCACTTTCTCATTGTCGTCAGCTTCATCGGACGCCAAAGGGTCTGCAACTAAACATACGCCGTTTATCACACATGTACACAGTAAGAGAAAGCCGGAAATAATTTTCTCGAGAGAAAAGCAAGTATCATTTTCAACCAGCTTGACGACGCCACGCCACTAAACGTTGACATCAGGTTCGTCTAATAAGAAGAAATAATTCTAAGAAACGGCTACAGGCCAATAACAGTTCTCGTATTAACGACTATATAGCCTGCGTAGCAAGCGGTCCCGTACGGATGACGAGTTTTTTCCGCATTCTGACCGCGCGAAAATTGGGTCAAAAGCGAAGAAAAATGGACGATTTTTTGCTTTCGCCACAATTTCCGGGCGACAAGACTTGCTCGTGCGCCCTTACAACGGAATGATTGCCACGCAGTCTAGCGACTATACACATAACTTCACTCAGAAAGGAACTGAAGGATGACAAACTGTTAAGGGTAAATGTTTAGCGTTATCAGAAACAATCGGCAGAATGCAATGCAACTTACCAGCTGACCATACTTTTAAAGTTTTATCCCAAGAACCACTGCAAAACTAAACAGTAAAAAAAGTCAATACCGAGGGTCTAGATGGAGGTTCAACGGATAGCTGATGTATAAGGTGTTAAACTGATAACTGATAGAGATGATGCGTTTTGTAAGTGATATCTGAGATTTGCAAAACACTGATAACCAAAAAATGGGCTGAAATTTAACTGATACCCTGTCATTGAGATTACAGCACGTCCATTGAGAACCTCAATACGCTACTGGTAGGATCAGCTACAATGGAGAAAAAACGGCTAAAACAAGCCATGGATGAAGCTTATAACCTCGAGCGCTTTTAACTTAAATGTCGATAGTGTTTCGCATTTACTTTCCCTTTGCATCACTACGCTAGACGATTGGCTGACAAATCTCGCGCCTCTTTTCCATCCAATCAGAAGTAAAATCAAAACCAATCGTAACGCTCGTGCATGTTTTCCCGCGCTTTGCGTCAGCTACACGAGCTTGCCTCTAGTTTTAATTAGTTCACTGGATTGTCTGTGTTCTTTGTGGTTGGCCAAAGTGATTAGTTTGGTTTTGGTTTTGGCTCGACATATTACAGTAAACACCCACACGTAAGAACCTATGACGTCGGGGTTCTTAAAATGTTCTTAAAATTTGTTTCAGAAATACAATACTTTATACATTACTAGAGGTGTAATTAAACATACAATGTTTTATTACTTAGAAATACACTAAAAATAAATTGCAAATAAAAAAATATGACATAAATATACTATTACTACATATAATACCGTTAGGTTATACTTTAATATGAATGCTTTCACCTTCTGGAATCCTTTTTCTTTTTTTAGTATGAATCTACTAGTGTTCTATCACGAATGCCGTTCTCTGATTTGCTTTGCCACTCACTATCTATTCTGTGATAGATAGTGAGTAGCGTAGCAGTGTGTCCTTGTCAAAAAAATGACCGTCGCCTCTTGGCGTTTTCGAAGTGTCTGTGAAGAGGATTTAGATAAMGTTTTGAACGACTAGCAGATTTATACTAAAACAATTAGATTATTCGCTCTCGATTTCTATGCGTGATAGTTGACGAGGGCGCATATCACGCGATAGAAATCTCGAGCTCATAATCTAATTGTTTACTATAAAAACTTGTTTCATTTATTAGGTTGAATTAGTTCTTAAGCGTATGGTGCTATATTGGGCAACTTTCAGTCTGATGTTCTCAATCTACTTGTTCTTATATGTGGGTGTGCACTGTACTCAATTGAAAACTGCTACAACTTACCTTTGTCTTAGATGAATCCACAGCCACTGTATCAACACTCTGTGTGTGCCCTTTACAGATGTGGATACACTCTGCCTTCCCCTTATTACGTGACCACTAAACAAGGAAAGAAAATAAACAAAATCTTGTTTTCCTCACTGTCATTATCATGAATTCCAACCTTGGGGCTTAGGCTTTTTCCTGGAAACTGAGAAAAACGTACTGAATGAAAAGATAGTCATAAGGTGACAGGATACGATTGCAAATGGTTTTCTATTTGGTTATGCTCAGGGGGAAGGGGGGGGGGTCGTATTGCTGCACATGGTTAGGGAGAGGTGGCATGGCCTAGTGGTTAGGATGCAGAGGTCCCAAGTTCAAATCCTCCTTCCTGGCACTGGAAGGATTTGTGTTTTGTGGTCCCAACTCTTTGTAAATTATAGCCAACTGGTCAGCCTCCCATTGCTCTGGATTTTTAACAGTTTCTGTTCAATTTAAAATATTGGTAAGCTTATTTCAAACCACAATTAGCAAAGCAGTGCTAAACACTTCGTTTTTGACACTTATTTATTTATTCCCTGGTGTTGCCTTGTTGGAATGGAGGTATTGTGCTAAAGAAATAAGTTCTTCAGGCCAAGAAAGTGGTAGCAAAAATATATAAGGGAAGTTTTTATTTGAACAGAAAACAGTGGCCTGAGTGCGATCTGTAGAAAATCAGTGAAATAGTACCGTGACATTCCATTTGTAAGAACAAGTTAACACTAATCACCAGATGCTTTGTACAGTCAAGTTACTTTTAACGCCACTTTTAGAAAGAAGTGCTGGTACCTCACTCAGTCGAATGGATTGGTCTTGAGATGAGGTTAAAAACATACCAACATCATCATCTGCAAGAAAAAAAAAATGCAATTAAAAAAGAAAGGTGTCCAATGTGCTGACCAGAAAACACTGGCTTTATTATAGCAACAAAGCCCATAGCAAAGTATCAAGAGATGAATTGTGGTGTATGTGTGGGCTGGGCAAGCTGGAGAGGGGGTCGGGG